AAATTTTCTAGAATACTGTTAGTAAATACTTGTCAGTCTGTGTTGGTTATGAACAACAAGACTCTCACGAATTTCTTATAGTATTATTAGAAAAACTCCACGCTGATCTTAATAAGGTAAATATATTTCATTAGATAAATTACAATTAAAAATTCATATGATTTAATTGTTACATTTTATTGTAGAGTGTTACAATTTCTCCAAAACAAAGATTGAATTTAGAAAATCTATCTGAATTTGAAGCACAGGAAAGGTTTTGGGAGAATCATACTAATATGAATAAATCAATTATTTCAAATTTATTCGAAGGTTTGCTTCAATCAGAATTGCTGTGTTTAAATTGCAGTAAAACATCTAATAGCTACGAAGTATTTTCATTACTTTCATTGCCAATTCCTTCAACTACAAAATGTTATTTAAAAGTAAGTTTGATAAATTCTTAAAAATTCATTTTTACATTTAATAGTTTCAGTGACATTCAATCAACTTAATGCTTTATTTATTATGTAGAATTGCCTTGTCTGATGTAGTCTTTAACACTATTTAATTTAGTTTGCTATGTTCTAATTAGTCTATCTTCAAAATTAAAAAAAAATTTAAGTTTCAGAATAAATGTGAAATTTTGAATTTTTTTTATAACAATTAGAACAAAATGATTTGAATATTAACAGTTATCACAATTATAATGAGCTCCTAAAATGATTGATGTCTCCATTATGAATTACTACAAGTAAAACAAAAATGAAGAGAATATATTCTGTCCATTTTTGTTGAAGTACTACATATAAAGTAGTTGAATCATTCTCATTAATAATCTTATCTAACAAAGAATTTTTGTGAATTCATAAGTCTTTTATTGTTCTGACACTTTCTTATGGATATAATCATTTTAAAATCTCAGCTTCTTTATATATCCAATATGTATCTGAAATAAAAATCTGTTAAGCTATAATTTAGTTAACAATTTAATAATTATTATACTTTAACCAAACTACAATTTAAAAGATGATTAGTTATGAATACCTAGAATTATTTCTGAATAAAAATATTATTTTAGTTTAGTGTTTACTCCATGTTTCAGATCTTACATTATTCTAGGCCTTAACCTTCATCTAGATTTGAAATATTTATTTTTCAACTTCCAATTCTGATTTAAGAAATATGCTAGTTTATCACCTAGTTACTATTCTTCTGATCTTCAGTTTATATTTTCATTTTAATTAAATAAATAAATCGGTGACAAATTCGACTTTATTTTTGTAAATTAAAAATAAAACTATATATTCTTTAATCAATTCTGAAGTACTGATCTACTTTGAAAATTAGAATAGGCGATTGACAATGAACCAAATTCATCAATGATATCTAACTTAGCTATTTGTGATTACGGTAATTCTTTATTTTATTTAAATCCATAAGATAACCTATATACTTATTTAAAATGCAGAGAAATATTTTCAAAAAATCAAATAACTTAATTTTAAAAAAAATTCATACATGCTTTATATTATTTTTTGAAACTTTATTTAGCTAACGAATGAGTCAAGCATATTTAATATTACATAATCTATTCAAAAATTAAAATTGTTTAATGTAGATTATTATTAATTTAGGCATAAGTGCACGTGTCTGTATGTTTCCTTTTACATAATATAAAGTAATTTTAATTGTTAAAATAAAAAATTCTTATATATAAATTTTATAGCTATAATTTCTTTTTAAATAAAAAATAGTATTAATTATTTTTTATTTGATAAACTTAAAGTAATTAATTATTTTTATTTAACTGGATACAACTTACTAAATTTATTAAAACTGATTTCTTTAATGTTGCATCCTGAAATTCTATATTATAATTTGAACATATAATGTTTTTAGTGTGTGAATGGTTTATAAAATGTTAAGCGCATACAGGCCTACGTAGGCTATAATGTTACACATTGAATATTCATCAACCAATTAGATTTATAATTTGGAGTGCTAATTAGACACAAATAAAAACTTGGTTATATTATATAAATAAGGTGATCCAATTAACTTTTAGACTAAATTAATCAATGAATCTAAACTAAGTCTAGTTTTTTTATATCTAACCAAATTGTAATATATTTAAAAATAATTTGTTAAATAAAACCAAACTTCATCTTAATTTAAAATATTATTAAAACAAATAAACCGTGTAAAAACATTTCTTTTATTGATAAAAACCCTCCTTAATAACCTAAAATTTAGGCCTATGTATTTTGTCTAAACTTTGTTTATTTCATATTCTTTTCTTTCATAATATAGGGTATACATTATAGATTTAAAAGATTTTAGTGTAATATCTAGAATTAAATTACAATATGCCGTGACCGATAATATAAATTGACGTAAACATTACATAAATGCATGTAGGCCTAGGTTATTCAAATACAAATCGAATTCTGTTTGTTGTAGTGTATCTATCCTCTTTAGTATAGTCACACGGATTTTTGAAATAATTTATAGCATTTTGTGTTAACAAAATATGACGATTTTACTTGTTAGAAACATTTCGCATGCTAAAGTAAATTTTAACAGTGGATATTGATTACAACAGAAAAGAAAAGTTGTACTCTGTTGACAAGAACATATCTACTGTCAACAATCAATCATTGAGTGTTCTCATGATTTCACTTTCTATTGCTCTTTAAACACTCCTCTTTTTTCTTCTACGCAGAATGATCATAAATCAAATCTACCATATGACTATGTCTTACATCTATTAAAAATCTTGTAAAACATTTAGCGCTTGTTAAATTCATTGGGACCTTTAAATTACAGCTACAAGTTAACTTTCTAGCTTTACTAGTTAACTTACATGCCTACTGTTCAAGAATATTGAACTAATTAATCATTTAAAAGTGCTACTGATAAATAGGTAAAAGGCCCCCGGGTTAAGGATTGNATCAAATCAAAATTGAAATTTGTATTCAAATATTTATTAAAATAGTTCAGAAATATGCTCATTGAAATAAATTATAGATTATTTAAAACATCCTGTGTCACTTTAAAATACAATTTATAATATACTTTATAATTCCATGTTATAAAATTACTCTTAAATTTCTAATAGATTTTCATTTGATGGAATATGGAGAGAGAAATTACAGACATATGTAGATTTTCCAATAGAACTTGAAATACCTTCCTTTATAAAACAGAAATTCACAAAATATCAGCTCTATGGTGTTTTGGTAAGTAAAGTTTATGTTTATAGTTTATAAAAATACATTAAAATGCTCATTGCTGTTTGCTATGGGGTTGAATCATGTACTTTACTATGTGAGGTCCAGAATATTGGCCAAATACTCAGCAAAACCCACTCCTGTAATAGTATTGTAAAATAATATTTGCTAATTTGTTTATCTTCAGAAATTACAAATAGTTTCAGACTTTGAAACAATAACTGTAAGAAAGAGATATACACTATCATTCCACCATCTAAGCAAGACAAGGAATAGAGTAGAATGATCATAGGCACATTTTACAGCTACTAAAACCAAGCTCTTGTAAAATACCAACTTTTTGTGTGATTTGAACAGGTAAAAATTATTTTTTGGCCATAGGCATTGCCAAATCATAACAGCAGAAGTAGTAGACATTACATGGGAGCTATGTACTCACTACTGATTAAGCTGTATAATTTTTAGTTAAAAGGATGTCAGGAAAATCTTTAATGGATCAGAAAGTTAGAAGGTATTTTGAAAGCAGTATTTGTGTTTCTTCAAGCCTGCATTTTGACATATAAATTCAACAACAAATTACAGTAGAGCCTCGATTATCCGATCCCCGATTAACCGACACCTCGGTTAATCGGGGATCGGATAATCGAGGCTCTACTGTATTATTCCTAGTCGGCAAATTTCAAATGTCCGCTAGTGATGTGGCACTACAATATTTGGCTATGTCTTGGCTACTTTAATATTACTTTTACGTGTTTTAGCTGGCAACAGTCATTCGACCATGAAAGGGAGCCAGTATTTAAACGAGGCTTAATTTTCTTATTTTTAACGATACAATAGCGACGATTATTATTTTAAAAAATTTTTGTTAGGCTTAACATCGATGAAAATTCAACGTGTGACCGAAGGGTCGGCACCTCTTTGGTGCCCTGTCAGGATGACACCACCGCGTCTCGGCGGACACGGAAGCCGCGTTAATTAGGTCACGCGAGCGGTCGCGTAACTGAGCGATCAGAGTCGAGATAGAAGGAGAGACAATGCACCGGAAGTGATTTACTCAGACGCTTTTTTTTACGTAACAACTGTTTAATGGTTAACGATAGGATATACATTAGTGCTGCTGTTAGATACATTAGGGCAGCTATTAGATACATTGCTCGCTTTAGTATATAATAATATTAAGATATTAAGATATTACGTTTCTTCCCGTTTTGAGAGAGAGAGTTTACAGAAGTTCGCGTGTCGATAGTTACCTTTTTTGAAAGCTTGATCTCGATCCCCGTCGGTAAGACAGAAAGTTCGGGAAGTCCAATAATCCAATAGTTCTTTTTCTTTGATATTAGGTGATTCTTGATATTAGGCGATTCTTGATATTAGACGATTTTTTGGATATTGGTCACAAGCGAAGAGGTATGTATCCCAAGGAGCACAGATTTTTCGTCGACGTAATCCCAAGGAAGAACTGGCGACAACTGACTCACTTTTTTGTTCTTCTCTAATGTTGAATTGTTAAAATCGCTATACTAGGTCGAAAGGTGATGAGAAAGCGTCGTTATTACGCCTGAGAACTTAGCAGATGTTTAGCTCCCAGTTGTAAAAGTTGACAGTTATTGAACAAAAGTATAGCTGTACTGTGATCTTATGACACCGTGGAATGAAGGTAGAACTACGATGTGATATTATGATGAGATGATATAAACACATCCGAATTCGGAATCTCACAAACGCAAAGTAGGTTAATAGCGATATACTAGTATACTAATATACTAATTACATGGGATATAATAATATACTACACTAATAATGAATTTTTTCATACTTTTCGGTTATCCGACTTTTCAATTATCCGACCAACCCCAGTCCCCGATTGAGTCGGATAATCGAGGCTCTACTGTACTTTTCAAACAATACATTATATATACCTGAAATTTAATATTGTTTAAGTTGAGTTTGAAATAAAAAGTTTGATTTTCAGATTACTGATGCAAGACTTTCAGCCACCACTGTATATAGTTTTTAATTATACATAGATCAAAACAAGCGAGAATCACTTTAGCAATACAATACAACAGGAGTGGCCAACTTTTGTGTACATAAGATCTACTTTTTATCTTAAAAATGTGTCACGATTGACTTCTTGTCATAGGTATAGTCTAATTGGTGAGGGAATATGTGAAATACATACTATGTTTATAAACTGTGTTTCAGTATGAGATGCATTCCTGCAAACTATGGGTAGATAAGCAAAATATATGTTTAAAACTGTTTTTTTATTTTTAACTATGATGATAAACTATTTTAATCACTTAAGTTTTTGAGATATAGGCTCATAAAGAAAATAAATTTCCAGACACAACTTTTGATATTTGCAGCTATAAGTTTATTCCATACCTAGACGGTACCTAAAAAATTTGGTTTTTCAACACTTTTTCAAGATAAATTACATTTTAAGTTACTAAAAATCTAATTTTTTTATCAATTGCAATATATAAGTTGTGGTACTATTTGTTCACAAATATGAGAAAGGTGTTATAAAAATGCACAGTGTGGCTGATAATTTGATTTTAAGATTTCATTTTCACAATTTTTTTTTGCGCCAGAAAAATTTATCATTGAAGAATGATATAAGATTTTTAGACTTATTTTTTGCTAATCTATCAATAGCTTGCAGGAGTGCACCTCATACTGAAATACCCTGTATATTTAACTATATAAAAAACAACATAATTATTTAACGGGGGGTGTGTCAGAGCTGACAAGCGTGTGAGTGAACTTTTTTTGAGAGGTTGGTAGAACAAGTTTGGGATGGAAATAACAAAAAATTATGCAATGTGGTATGTACAAATTAGAGCTGTTGACATTAATTTAACGTTGGGAGTGATTAAAATACTATTAATAATTGCCGGAATTGAAATAAATCCTGGTCCTCTCCCCCACTCACCACTTCGGTCAAGTCAGTTGGATATGCAAAAAAGGGGGCGAGGTAGACCTAGGAAGGAAAGTCACAAGGATGAAGAAAGGAAAACACAGTTACTGGAAATTTTAAGTGAGGAATACCAAATTGAAGAAAAGGTCGAAAGAAATAATGGGACCCCGAGAAATTCGAAAATTCAGGATTATTTTAAACCGGCAAGAGAAACCGAAAAACAAGGTATTGACGATTCACAATATACATTAAGATCTATATATGAATTAATTCAGGAAAAATTTTGCNGGGGTGTGTCAGAGCTGTCAAGCGTGCGAGTGAACTTTTTTTGAGAGGTTGGTAGAACAAGTTTGGGATGGAAATAACAAAAAATTATGCAATGTGGTATGTACAAATTAGAGCTGTTGACATTAATTTAACATTGGGAGTGATTAAAATACTATTAATAATTGCCAGAATTGAAATAAATCCTGGTCCTCTCCCCCACTCACCACTTCAGTCAAGTCAGTTGAATATGCAAAAAAGGGGGCGAGGTAGACCTAGGAAGGAAAGTCACAAGGATGAAGAAAGGGAAACACAGTTACTGGAAATTTTAAGTGAGGAATACCAAATTGAAGAAAAGGTCGAAAGAAATAATGGGACCCCGAGAAATTCGAAAATTCAGGATTATTTTAAACCGGCAAGAGAAACCGAAAAACAAGGTATTGACGATTCACAATATACGTTAAGATCTATATATGAATTAATTCAGGAAAAATTTTGCCAGTTAAACTTAGAAATTCAATCAATAAAAGCTGAAGTTAATAAGATAAAAGAAGAAAATAATAGTTATAAAGAAGAGATGAAGATAATTGGTTACAAGATACAAAAATTAGAAGAAAATTATAAAAATAACGAAAAGATAAAAGGTATGTTGGAATTCGAATTTGATAAATTGGTAAATGAGACTACAAATAAGAATATAATAATTTTTAATTTTCCGGTTAAAACATGGAACGTTGTTCAAGAAATCAAACAATTTATTAACGAAGAATTAGGTCTAAAAAATATAGAAATTGAAGGACTAGTTCAACTTAAAAATAGTAAGAATAACCTAATAATAAAAGTAATTCTGGAATCTGTAAAAGATAGAAATTTAGTTCTCAAAAGATTTTGGACTTTGAAACCAAAAATTGTTAATGAAACCGAGAAAAAAATAATAATTACAACGGATTTGTGTATTAGATCAAGAATTAGAAGAAAAAAACTACAGGATCAAATTAAAGTGGAAAAAACTACTAAAAATAAAATATTAATAAGAGATGATTACTATATTAAGGATAATATAATATATACAATTGATATGAATACAAACAAGATTCTTCAAATGGATTGTTCTCTTAGAAATACACAGACGATTAAAAAGAACAGGACTGACAAGAGAATCATACCGAATTAAGTTTATATTCCTCTAATAAGAAAACAGTAATTGAAAAAAATTGTAATAAAAGCTTAGTAAAACTGGAAAATAGTAAAGTAAAAGTAAAGGAAAAAATGTTAGTAATGTAATGGTAGTAAAAATATGAGAGAGACTAACAAAAAAAAAAAAAAATTTTCTGTCCAATAGGGTTTTGGTGAATATAGGGTCTTTGTGGGAAAATTATAAAGTCTTACTAAAGAAATTCATAGACCCTAACATTATTGGTTCTACGGAAACCTGTATGATAATTTGAAGTGACAGTTAAAGTTAATAATTAATAAACACTTGATCCTAGTATTTAGTAAAGCAAAAAATGAAGAAACAAGAATAAATTAATCTACTATGTTGAAGTAGCTATCATAAATATGAATTTAATAATGAAAATAAGATCTATGTAATGTAAAAACATTGAGATATTGTAAACGGAATAATGAATAAATTTGAAGTGTTTTTAAAACGGGTAAAAAGGTACATACTGAATGTGATGTATAAGTTAAAATGTAATTAGATGTAGAAATAAATCTGTGTAGATAATCAAGAAATTGTGAAATCCAACCACCCTGATTGTAACAGACGGAAGGCGAATGCTCATCGAAAAGTTAATTTATGTAAAGTTGTAATAATTGTATAAACATCCTTCTGTTACAAGAACGATGTTTATACAATTATTGCTATTGCCTATTACGTTAATAAACATTCTATTCTATTCTATAATTATTTAACTCAAAAAACTCATGTCCAGGGGAATTAAAACAACGTGAATTATTAACAATATTTATTAATTCAAATTAGCTACAGATAAAGACAGATTTAGAATTTATTTTATTATTGTAACATTAATGGGAGGACTGAGTTTGCATGTCTCTAATCAAGGAATCATAATTCGGTGTATATCCTGACAAAGATGATAATAATGAGTCTTCAGTATGAGAATCAGTCAGGACAAAATGTTGTTTAGTCTTAGTTAACTTTAAGTATGAAAATGCCAATTCACGCAGGTATGTAGATCGAAACAAGAATAAATATATTCACTACATTTGGTGATACTGGGATATTTTTTTCAGTTGATGTATTTCCAAAAATCTTCTTCAAATTTTCTGGCTTGTAAGATTTAAATCAGTTTGTAAAATTATAATTTTATTTTCTAATGCCTTTTGCTCCATATGAAATATTTCTGAAATTTTTTGGCTAGTGCATTTCACACTAAAAGGAAAAAGATTTAAAAGGAAAAGATATAAATTCCACAATTTCTTTAATTTTTTCAAAATCTTGGAATCTTACCTCAAAATCTTCAATTACTTTTTGGATTTCCGTGAGATATTTGTCAATCTTATAATTAATACTAACTGTTACCAGTGACTTCACCCGCGGAGGTTTTGTAAGCAAACCCTATTTATATTCAGTATTTCAACAACCATAGTAATTGTTATATGACACCTACTGCTGAGAATCAAATGAGCTATTTTCAATTTGATCAATTTTCTGGAACTTTTACAATTGTTCTATAATCAAACCAATATGCAATAACAAATTCGAATTTAAAACAGTTCAAACATTTGGTTAAAACATCAAAATATATAACAATGTCTGAAATGTTATCAATTTAATATACCTAAGTACTCAATGAAGACTAAACGTTGTTGAAAACAAAAAATCACATCTAAAATAGCACAGTAGAAGCCGTTCTTCAGGTTAAGCCTTAATCCCCCCACGGGGGGATTTCAAAAAATTCCTTCTTAGTGTGCGTTTCCATGACGTACCCTAACTGTGTACCAAATTTCACCCCTTTAGGTTCAGCAGTTTGCTCTGGGCGATGATGAATCAGTGACTCAGTCAGTCAGTCAGGACAAGTAATTTTATATATTTAGATTTTTATGTTTTTGTAGGTTATCTGCCATATTTAGAAAATGATAGATTATTTTGTTGCAGATCTTTATTAGCAAAATAAATTTTGCTTTATATTCATCTATGCAGCTGATCGTATCAATTACTGTTTTAAACAAAATTACGACTTACTTAAGCCTGTAACCGATGCAAAATCGTAAAATATTAATGCACAAACGTTTTTGGAACACCTTCCGTGTTCTTCCTCAGGTTTTCAAACTGGATTTTTTATATTCTGGAACACTGCTATGAAATTTTTCAAAAAACGAATGATGATATTTCGAACGCTTGGTGTCCATTGCGCACGCATTGTACACGTTGTGTTCCCGGTTGTTCAGAGTTCCATTCAATCTTCTAATCATTAAGTAATTTCTCTCGTTATTCATACGATGTAGTATTCTAGCCTTCCATGTCATGTGTCCCCCCCGCATCATCCGGTGTTAAATCAATCTTTACGAATTATTATGCAAAACAGCCTGCCAAGCGTACGAAAGAGCCATCTCCTCCCGTGTATTAATGCACTCCAATGAAGTGTGTGCCTTAAATATCTCCACTGCCTCTAGCCATTTGAGGTGGTCCATCTGTGTCGTTTTAACTATTAACATTGCCCCTGCGAAGTCAACCGTAATATCCGGGTCAGAAGCATACACCGACAGTGACGTGGTGGCTCTGTTGTGACGTATGTCTGCTTTGTGTTCACTCATTCTTACCCCCATAGAGCGTTTCGTAGACCCTATGTAAACTAGATCTCTGTCGAATCTTTCATCCCTAACAGGGATCCGATATATTCCTGGCAATTTTATCGGGTCAGACATGTCCTTCCCATTACATAGTATGTCAAACATAGTTGAGCCTCTCTTGTAAGCAATGTAGACATTACGTCTTTTGGCTATAGCTGTGTATAAATGCATATTATTGTAGTTACATTTTAATATGAATGGTTTGTCCCATATTGAAGTTAAAATAATAAAAGGTAATGGAAACAAATAATTTTGTAATATATGTTAATGTTTTAAAATTTCTTTAAAAGGTCATTTATAGTTAAGTAGTGTATTCACTTAGATTTGTCTCAGATAATGGGGAACTTCAGAGATTCTATTATATTTTACTTTTTTCAGACAAATCACCTTGTGTCAGAATATATGCAGTACAGAGAAACTAATAACAAAACTATAATGACTGCAAATAATGAAATGAAATTTAGTAAATACACTGGTGTTCAAAAACTTAAGAACTGATTACAATATTACCAATCAAAGACTAAAACATCTAAGCAGCTACTGTAAATTTGACAATAAGCAAAAGTGGAACCTTGCTACATTGTTCTCATTATTTTTTTTTTGTTATATTGCCTGATTTATTTGGTCATGGATCATATAAATAACACAATTTTTCTGCCTCCTTTGGTTCTCAAACAATCATTTTATCACATAGATCATCAAAAAAATTATAGTCCTGATCAATATTTCCCCCACATTAATAGTTTTTTTAAAATTTGAAACAGTGATTTAGTAGCTTGGGGAAACAAATATATGATAATTTTAAATTAGTTCAAAAAATTGATACTGTTTGTGTACCTTGCTTTCTTAATACCATCTGGATTGCTTGCTTAATGTTGAAAAATTGAGCCATCAACTGCAGCTACCATGTTGTAAGAAGTACAGTCAACCCCCCCTATAACACAGGTTCATATAGTTCGGATTCCTATATGACGGCGAAAAAATTGCGACAGTATTCATTCAAACACGCTAAAAAAAAAACTTGCATAATTCGGTAAAACGTCATTGCCAACTTGTGTTGTGACAGGATTAGTTGAATCTAGACCAACAGCGAATATTGTACAAACCGTTGAGTTTAAACGAGCAGTGGACCTATTAAAAACCATTTATTATTTAACGTCCATAAAAATTATATTTATATTAATGATGTCTCCAAAGTTCAGCAAATTTTTCGCAAAAAAAGTAATTTATCAGGAAGCACGCGTGCGCCATTCGATGACAAGCTCCACGACAAAAACAAGCTTAAGCAATGGCGTCGTCAAACGGTGTACACTCGGTAAGTAATCCTACAATTTTTTGTTTTTAGCATAGTTTATATGGATTATTCCCAAAAAATTATACATATTTTGGAAATGTTGAGTTGAATTAGTCTAGAATTGATTAATTTTTTGAAAGAAAACCTTTCAAACAGCCGTAGTCCGTAAACTGCATATGTGCCGTGCTGTGATTGGCTCATGTATTTAAGGACTCTTAGAACATCAATTTCATAAAGAACGGAACGTATCTACCGTGTTATAGGGGGTCGACTGTATATTTAATGTATAAAGAAATACCAGAATGAGAAAATTGTCTTAATTTCTATCATTTTGATTTTCTGCAAGATTGAAATGGTCAGAATTCTCTCTGAATTTGGATCCTGTAGTTGTACAAGAGCCTCCTGGCATATAGTAATATGAGGGGAGAAAAATAAGGTAAACTCAAAGTTGTATTTAATACTTGATTATTTCTTATTCTTTCTTGTTCTTTGAGAGTAAGCAGAAAATTGTTAAGTAGAGTTTATCACACAGGAACATTATAAGATGAATAAAATAGACTTTATTTCGTACAATGGAATTGACATTTTGGCAAATTTTTCTTATTAAATTTTTCTTTAAGAAAAATTAGCCAAAATGTTCATATAAATGCAATTTATTGGATATTATACTCTACTTTCTATATGTGAATCTTTTATGTAATGTAAGTAAAATTATGTTATGTGTTGTGTGCCTAATCAGACAGTGGACTACAAATTAGAACGATAAACATCTCTAGCAAACACCTGATGAATATATGAATGATTTACAAATAAATGAATAATAAACAGTACATACATTCAAGATTCAGCCTTGAATTACAACATGAAGAAGAACAAAAACAAAAAAGAAGGGCTTCTCAGACGAATGCTACAACCTTTTTTAAAAAAGTACATGTGGAAAAGAGAGCACCACCTCTTAGCAGTTTTAAGTTAAAGAAAAGAAATAAAATTATTTTTGCTGGTTGGAACAATATGTAAATCATATATAAATTTAAATACATTTTAAATTAGTAATTAATAAATTAGCCATTTCAGTTTTTTCATTATATTGAATTTTTGACTAATTTTATTAAATTATAAAGAAAATTATTTTAAATATAACAAATGTCTTTTAGGAACTTATTTACATAAGTTTTTGGGGAAATGGGTTTTATATTAATATATTTTATAATTTATTAGTATGTAGAATGATTTGATTAATTTCTCTTTTAATTTCAGAATCATTATGGAACATTAGAGGGAGGACATTGTAAGTTTAAATGTTTTTGCATTATTTTGAGTAATCATTTGCAATATTTTATTTTATTTATTGTAAATCCATATTAGATGATAATGAACAGTTAATTTTAATATTAACAATACAATGCTGTAATACCATATGATAAAATAAATACAACCTGCTTTCATAAAGATTTGGTTATGTTTAAGAAGCTGTCAATTACATTTTGTAAACATAGGCATTCAATTGAATATGTTTTATTTACATGTAGGTGAATACATTATTCAAATATAGGAGTGGTTTTACTATAAAACGACGATAAGAAATTTTGTCTAAATGCTGTTTTAATTGTGAAATAAAATAATAAAAATGAAACACTTGTTTCAAAATACTTCAACCACACAACATTTAATGTATAAAAAGTGTCTTGTATTTTTTATTTTTAATTTAAAAAATAATAATAATAACAGATTTTATAAAAAAAAAGTGTGCAATGTTAAATACAAATTTACATATAAAATAAAACTTGGAAGCCATAACTGCAGTTAGCAGTGTCATCATGACAGTGTATAAAAATGGAACATAGAAAAGCAGCTTTATCAAAATATATATGTGAAATAATTATTAAATTACATAAAGAAGGCAAATCTGTTCAGACAATAGCTTGAAGTTTGGATCTTCTTTCTTCAACTGTCAAGAGTGTAGCAATGCTTCAATTGACAAATCTTCAGAATGATCTGAAACAACAAGCAGACATGAAAATGGAGTACTATGCCATATTGTGAAGGCTAATTGACATGCAACATTGCCAGAAATAACATAAGACTGGATGAGCACCATTAAGAAAGATGTATGAAGTGTAACATGCAAGCATTGATTCAAGAACAAGGGTTATTCAACTTAAGCTGCATTCACACTGCTGATGACAATGACAAAAACTGATATTTTTATAATTTGTCTTTGTCTGTAAAATGTTCACACTAGTTGTTATCATTGATCTTTCATTTTAGTTGTTCAATGTCTGAATGTTAGCCAAGATTCAACAGTTATCATAGTTGTAACAGTATTGGCCAATCAACATGAACTTCCCATAATTCTTTGAACAAGATGGAGGAACCACTACTCTCTTGTGTCAAAGAAAGAGGCCTTATAAAGCATAAATGGTTGAAAGTATTTGGAAACATAGGAAAATAATTTAAAAATCCTTTGATGCCTTTTAATCATAATTTCTGGACCAAAGCATAGAAATCTCCTTATGTTTTTCTCTCAGTATTAATAACTCTGACCCACTGCCAACTTTTTGATGTTTTCCTTAACAACAGCAATAAATTCAGCTGTCAACATTGAAGAATTAACATTTTGCTCTTCATATCCATTTTAAACCAGAAATGAGTTGAGTTTGGTCTCGAAATGCATAAATCCACAGAATAATGCTAAGCCTAATATAAATTGCACTTGCTCTAAGACAAAAACTAATGAACAATGTGAACACTGACAATGATTGAATGAATATGATGAAAGACAAACCATTGTTATCATTTAGGGTCTATTGTCAATGTCAGTATGAATGCAGCTTTACAAGACTAAAAACAAACTGCTGCTTACTATGAAACAAGAAAGCAAGGTTTATCTTGGCTAAAAAAAAAATTAGAACTGGAAACAACAACAATGGAAAAAATTTATTTTTTTCAGAATAATCTTGCTTTGAAATTTGCCTTGGACAGAAAAGATCCAAAGTATTGCAATAAAAACATAAAATTTCAGCATTATTGCCTTTGCTATAATGTTAAATTTCCATTGAGTGTTATGGTATGGGAGTGTATAAGTGACAAAGACGTTGATGCTTTGCATATTGTTGATGGAACTATTAATTCCACAGAATATATTAAGTTTCTAGAAGAAAATCTTTTTCCAACAGTTTCTTGTTTGTATCAAGATAATGATTATATCTTTTAACAAGATAATGCTAATTATAATGTGCAAAAATTATCAAGTCCTGGTTTGAGCATTCATTGTATACCATCACTTCTATGGTTGGCAAACAGCCCTGACATGTCACCCAACTAGAATCTTTGGGGGAAATATTGAAGAAAACAGTTTGAAAACAACAACCTTCAACAAAAGAAGAATTGCATACAGTATTAAAAATACCCCCCCAGGTAGGGAACCGGCCTGGACGTGGCAGGGGCCTAGCGATGACAGGCAGTGGGTATAGAGGATCCAAAGTTCCTGTCTTGGTCTTGGCTGTTGATGGAATCTTTAGACTTGGGCCTAAGGAGGTTCCAGAGGTGCCAGAATATCATGGGTTGGTTGGTTGGCATTTTTTGGCACAAGGACCACATAGGCCAAGCTGCGTCATGACAAATGGTACATTTGTATAATTTAATATATATATATATATATATAACTACATAGTGTATATAACTATATACACTATGTTACATTATGTTATGTAAATTTTGATCATCATTTTCCTTCTCCCTCTCTTCCACCACCAGTTTACACCTCCACCGTTGTCTATCCTCAAAGGTAAAGTGCAACTAAAACTACATTTTTTTTAATCAATTATTATTCTATTATGGTTATTTACACATTTACAACTATAAAACACATTTTTCAGTGTTTTCCTTACTATAATTATTATTTTTTTTTTTTTTAAATGTACTACTTAGCTTTAATTTGAGTGTTTTTCATGTTTGAACGAATTATTTGGTTTTACATGTAATCGTATGGGGAAAAATGATTCACCTTACAACATTTTCATGATATGATCTCAGTTTCGGAACAGATTAATTTCGTATCCTGAGGTACCACTGTATATAAATAATTAAATCTCTTTATACATATTAGTGACGTTTAAAAAGTCCAGTAGGTTGTTAAGATTTGGCCTTTGGCCCAAAACACCTGTCAGACTTGCATTTCCAAAATACTGTCTACACCTCGTCGCGAAGGCAGAGCAGTCACATAGTATGTGTTTTACAATTAGAAAGCAGTTGCAATACTGACATACTGGCTGGTCATCACCCTTCAGAAGGTATTGATGAGTCAGTAGTGTGTGTCCAATTCTCAAACGAGTAAGGACAACCTCAGATCTCCTATCATACTGCCTACTGTGTCCAATTTTCTACCAAAGGTTTGATCTTGTGTAGTTTATTGTGGACTTGTGCGTTCCACACACTTTGCCATCTCTCTGCTAATCGTTTCTTAACGACTAGCTTCAAATCACCTCCTTCAATATGCACTGTATGCTGTGAAGGACTAGCTGACTTTGCAGCTGCGTCAGCTTCTTCATTTCCTCTTATACCTACATGGCCTAGGACCCAACAAAATTTTACAGAAGTATTACTTGCACAAAGATGGCAAAACAGTTTATGGATTTTAGTCACTATGGAGTGAGAACTAGGTTCACACGAGATCAAAGCCTGAAGTGCACTAACTAAGTCAGTGTAAATCACGCAGTGATGATGACCTTTTCTGATTACATACTTTTTAAGGCTAGGTGAATAGCCTGCAGTTCTGCAGTAAAGATAGATGAATTCGGTGCAATTTGTTCTGCCAAGATTTCATCCTGGCAAACAAAGGCTGAGCCAACATAATCATCCAATTTAGATCTGTCAGTATAAATAGAATTAAATTCATGTCATGGTATGAATTTCTGCAAAGTGCTGTCTGTAGACGTAATCTGGAGTGGATTCCTTAGGAAACTGCTTTAAGCTAAGGTCGACATTTATCGCAGGAGTTGACCAAGGTGATATACTATCAACCTCAGCTGTGAAATGTCCATTTCCAGGTTAATCTTGCTGCTTACATTCTCCATTCTTATGTTGAATGTAGGGACATAGCTTGGGCAAGCTACAAATAATCTTATCAGCTGAGTATCTGATACTGTACAATAAACTGAAGCTTTAATCTGAGATTTCTGTTTAATATAATAAAACAGAGACAACTGTTCTCTCCTCAGGGATAGTGGAGGCTCATAAGCTTCCACGTAAAGGCTTTGCACAGGAGAAGTTCAAAAAGCACCAGTGCACAAACGCAATGCTTGATGGTGGATTGGATCCAGCATCCAAAGAGTAAATTCTCACGCAGAACCATAAACAATGCATCCGTAATCCAGCTTTGAGCAGACAAGGTCTGTATAAATCCTGAGCATAGAACATTTGTCTGCTCCCAAGAATGAGCAGCATTATACCTTTAAAAGGTTCAGAGATTTTAAGCATCTACTCCTCAAATTGTGCAAGTGTGGTAAAAACATCAGTTTTTGGTCAAATAAAATGCCCAAAAACTTCATCTTGTTGACCATTGGGATTTTAATCTTATTTAGGTGAATTTCAGAGTCCAGGTACAAACCACGCCTTTGGCAAGTGGATGCATGAGGTCTCTGTGTTAAAAGAAAAACCATTGGTCTTGGACAAGTTGTCTATGTAATCTATGGAGGTTTGAAGTTGTCTCTCAATGAAACTCATGTTACTAGACTGGCAGGAGATCTGAAAGTCATCCACATACAAAGAATGTTTCACACTAGGAGGGAGACAGTTAGCTATGCTGTTAATTTTAATTAGGAACAGAGTCACACTCAAAATAGAGTTTTGAGGAACACTGCCTTCTTGTTTGAAAGGCCTAGATAAAGTGTTGCCCATCCTGACTTGGAATATTTGATTCTGTAGGAAGTTTTTCATAAAAATCGGCAAATTACCTCACAAACCGAATTCATGCAAATCGTGGAGTATCCCATATCACCAGCAGTGATTGTAGGCCTTCTCTAGATCAAAGAACACAGACACTAAGTGCTGTCGTCGAACAAACGGTTCACGTATAGATGTTTCAAGATTTACTAGTCTGTGGTACTTCTGTTCCTACGAAATCCACTCTGATGTGGTGAAAAGTAGTTCTTTTCCTCTAGGAGAAACATCAGGTGTCTGTTTACCATTCTCTCAAAGAGTTTACACAGGCATCTTGTCAGAGAGATTGGTCTTATAATTAGAGGGATTCTTGCGGTCTTTACCTGGCTTGGTGATGGGAATAATGAT